TACTTCTTGAACGTGAAACAGGTCGAGATATCGATAAAAGTAATCTCTTCTCCTGTGTTTTGTCTGAACCCTGTATCGAATGGATGGAATTTGCTACTCAGAAATATATATATATATAAGGCTGACATTTTTAGAGATTAGTCACGTGGCTTATACACCTGTTCTTCGTCCTCTGAACAGCCCGGAGCGATTTAGGAAGTTGACTGAAATGGATGAGAGGAACAGTAGTGAACCTCCGTTAAGCCTCGATGTTCAGTTTAGTGTCAAGTCGACGTGCTGATGTGCGTCCGCGTAGGCCATTGGCGAATTTATATGCTTTTTGACCGTAATCTGATGCACTTTGTGGCTGGTTTAGTTACCTAGGAATTGTGATCGACTCTGAGAATCTCTCAGAAACGACAGAGGTGGGAGTCATGTGAAGACTGATGTAAATACTCCGGGCAGCCGTAGCTTGATACAACCGATCAGTGTTCGTCGGTTGTTTTCACTGTGCAGTAAATGTGTACCCTCAGGAAGAACCACGTCAACCCGGAGCCCCACATTCACGATGGGTCAGTAGAGCGAACGAGAATCATTCTAACTTTGATCACGTTTTCGACAGCCAGGCAGCTGAATCAGCCCTGGAGACGGTTTAAATGACACTGGACTCCCTAATCAGGCCTTTTGCTTGACCAACGGGAGTGAGTCTCTACTGAGACTACTCCGAAAACAACACTCATCGTCGACAGACCCCCTTTCAATATCACCCTACAATTTAAACAGAATGGATGCACCTGAGTCTTCTCAGAGGAACAGAGGAACTCCATTGTCCCGCAAGGTAAGTGACTGACACCAAACTAGGGGCGGTCGCCATCAAACAATGACCCCTTCGGTTGATTTGATGTAATGCACAGCATAGTCGAATATTGGACAACTCTGTCCCGGACCGAATGGCGATGATGCGGAAAGCGGGGACTGAATATGAGGACAAAAAGCCGCATTGGAGACGGCAACCTCGTGTTTTCTTATTGAACCCAGTTTATCCAAATTCATCTAAGGAACTCGGAGCTGTTCCGTTGGTGCATCAGAATTAATTTGAGGCTCTAACTTATAGGGAGCCCGTTACATTAGAAGACAAACGTGAGACTGTTTCCCGGGATGAGAATGTCTTTGTGAGACTCCACTCAAGTAGAAAGGTTGCCTTTCGTTTATAGCATCACCGTCAGGAGAGGGACGCTTGTTGGTTAGAACCCACCCTATGCTTTCTAACCCATTCTGTCCTGATTCTTTTATTTTATGATTTTTTACGGGAAAAACACCCGATTTCGGCTTTGGTGTAGCAATCACGATGCAGACCATCCACTCGTGGCTGAACGGCTAGGTGATCAAATTATTAGCAGCCCGCGGGTCGCGGATATGAAACCAATTCCCGCTTTCTTTTAGCCGTCACAATGCAGATCATCTGCATTCGGATGCTGGCCGAACGGTCGCGGAGTTCCGTGAGATCTGTACTGCTGATGCTTCGCAATAAGGAGGAAAGAGGTTTACAGTACTCAGAGAATTAAATCCCACTTTGGTCAGAATAATTAAGCAGTGCTTACCTTCGTTTCATCTATTCACGCGATCGTCGCGTTTTTGATTGTCCTCTGTGAGATACAAATGCGGACAAAATTCGTCAATCAGGTTCAGAAACTCAGTGTTTGAAGACTTAGTTGGAGGAACAATGAATTCGTTGGACAAGTACGAATATCCGTTGGAGTCTCACTCAAACACCGATTTCACCGTTTCATTTGTTAAATATAAAATAGGATACTCACGCCTCAGGTTTCTTTTTCTCCGGTTGCCTCGTGCCGAAACACGCATGCTGTTATGACAGCCCAAACAAGCATGCTGTTATGACAGAAGGAAGTTAGTTGAAGGTCATTACGGTACGCACATAATAGATGAGCCTTAAACCTCATTTGTAGAAAGACACTCATGGAAATAAGCGGACAACCTACGGAATCGCTCAGTTCCTGACCTAAACGACTTCATTTTCGCATGGTTTTCTCGCTTTGATAAGAAACAGGTGTAGATAGATGGCTGCATGTACGGAATGTTGGCATGAGTGAATCACGGATGCACAACAATAGCTACGCAACGGATTGCCGAAGGCCATTCAATGAGTTTGATGGATGGAGAACGGCGGTTTCGTGATATTTTTCGCCAGATACACTCATTTTGAAAGTGGTCCCATATAAAGGGGGAGTCTCCAATGAATCGCAGCTAAGAATCTCGCGTTTATCACGTCTTTCCTCAATAGGATGTGCTACGCGATGGAATATCATGTTTCAGGTAGAGTGGTGTGTGAAATATATCAGTACGTTATCTCGACTATTCACAAGGCCGCTGAAGGCTGTTCTACCGGATTCATCCTTTTTGGGGCTCACCAGGTAGGTGCCGGCGCCGTCACACTAATGTTCTACTCAGTGAATATGCGTCCCAACAAGGCTCCTCAGCATAGAATTCTTTTACCGGTGGAAACAAGCCTTATTTGTAACATTAGAATGAAGTACTGTGATTGGAAATTCAAATGTTTAACTACAAAAACAACAACAAATGATTTGTAGTTCGTCACTGGTACTGCCGTTACTACTGATACTCATAATAGTAACAATGCTACATCTGTAAAAACTACTCAGTCCCAAACTCACAGCGTCAGCGAAGTTGAGAGCTATACTAGCTAAACCTGAAAACGGATGGACCGGTAAGTATCAGTGATTGTAATTCCACAAAGAGCGAGATTAGCGGGCTATTTCTAAGGAGGCCAAAATATGGATTCTTGATTAGGCGAACAATGGTCATCCAACAGGAATTTCGCTTCAGGCTTGGATTATTGATTTGCTGTTTTTGAGTGAAACTTTCCGACCAGAAGCAAAACAATGAGAGGAAAATTAAACTCACTGTGTTCACTCATCAGATGAGATACTCTGTCTGAAACCCAATAGAAATAGGTTAATCTGAGTGAAGGTATGATACACAAATCAAACGAAATCAAGTCCGATTTACGCTACAATTGACGGTGCTCGACGTTGCGAACTTTTTAACTTTTGTTGTATTGAACAATGCTTCCGGAAAAAGCAATCGAGGAACCGTTTTCCCACATAATTTCCAAGAATCTTAGTGCCCCCCTGAGTCATTATATGGAACTAGCACTGGTCTACGACCCCCTGCGGGAGGAAGAAGTTGACGAATTCCCCCGAGTATTTTCGTGAGGCTCGTAAAATCACTTGCGAGTTTGTATCGTTTAAACATCTAACACTATGCAAAACGGAATCTTAGAGTTTGTCCTTCATTTTTCAGAGTTTGCGTGGATATAAAGGGGCATTTGCGTTGAATTTAACTAGTGGGTGAATGGTTGTCCGTTTGCTGAACAGTAAAGCATCAGGTTAGCTGGCTGATCATGTGAGAGCCATCACGCGACCTACTGACCAAGCAGATTACCACCATCAAACACTGTTCGAAAAAAGTACGTAAACGCAGATACTGTGGAAGAAGCGCCGCAAACAGAATCCTATTGAAGATGTCGCCCCGATTAACGAAGAAACGTCCGCAGACCAGCGGATGAAAAGGACGGAACTCAACGATCAGCTCTGGAAATTCATCAGTCGTTACTTGTTCGTATTAGTCACTTTCGAGGAAGCTGCACACACTGTTCAGAGAGGGGAGCTCATTTCCAGTCTGAGAGAAGTGCGCTTTATTTTGTACCTGCGAGGGAGATTTTCGTTATTTTGTACCTGTGAGGGAGGTTTTTGACGTCTAAACTGTTACTCCATTCTGTAAGTACCCAAACTATGCCGACCCCCCTCCCAGTCCCCGGAAAAATTGCACTACAAGGCGTATCTGATAGCTCTGTGGACGGATTCGAATCCGCGACCTCTTAGTTAGTAGCTAAAGTCTGTTATTCGGTCAATAGGATACGCTCAGATGTGTGATCAACTGACACACAAGATATGACTCCGTTCACCGTTCATTCACGCAGTTCACCTCACGTGACCCGTCGTTGAAAGGCTGCCAATGCAAGGACTTCCACAGGGCACAAGCATTGACTACTGTAAAAACAATAATACAACATTGATGTGCATCTCATCAACTGCTAACGTGGGCCAACGGCCTAGTCTGGTTGACTACACATAGATTGGAAGAGAGATGTGCTAGACCTGAAAAATTGCTTTTCTGAGTAGGTGAAAATCTGGGTGAAAAAAAACAGATGTAATTATGGTGTGTTTCGAACAAGCAAGGACTCACATCTGATTTTGCAGAACACGTCTTTTTCTAATTCTGAAGGGGGCATGGAAAAAAAGAACTCATTTAGAAGTATCCGTTTTGGATGACTAAGCAGCTTGGCAGCAGATATAAAACACATGCTGTTGCTGTCGCTGATGCGCTGAGGGTCACTAAACGGGTAAAACTGGTGTCGGAAATCGGGAAACGTGAACATTATTCAACATGTGTGAGCTAATTTCTGTCAGTCTTTTGCATTCCAATATTCATGAGGGCGGGGTAATTGTCCACGTGCAGTCCGCCTACACCAAGCTCTCGAGGATAGATCAGTCCGAAAAGGGATCGACTCTACTCAGCAGTTTACCAGTACACATGGTGATTTCCAAGCCTGGCAGTCATGCAGCAGGATGACCGCCGGTCAGTTTGTGGGTTCCTACTGTATAGAGGATGCGAAGATCATATGCTTACATTCTTCAGTTGCAAAAGCGTCGTCCCGGTGTTCCTTGATTTAACATGTGCAATCGATTTTGGTGCTCAGTCAGTTCTCCGGCTCAGCTTGCACCACGTAAAATACTCTAGGTGTCAGCAGACATTATCCCTTCGAAGCGCCCCCATCTCATATGTAAAGCAAAGCAAAGAAAAGAAAAGCCTCATGGATCGCTCTACTTCCCTCGTCAAGTCTTTGTAGAGAGGGTCGGGATCGACAGACTGAACTGTCTACCAGAAACGGCGAGACCCTTCCCGGGTTCAAACTCATCAGAATGCTGATCAGGTGCTCGTGATACTACCATCAAGTGTTCCACGTTGATTCAGGATGTCGTGGGTTCAAAACTCTCCCGTGTTTCATGCGATGCGCGCTGCTGATGACTTCAAATAAGAACAAAAAAGTTGTGTGCTGCTTCGTGGTGGAGAGTGATTTCACCTACAGTAGGAAATCTTCAGTGAAAACTCAAATATCCACACATTAACAACAACCATTGGAATATATCAGCATAATATAGGGCCCAAAGTGATTTTACCCACGGCACAGACTGGCTGACACACACACACACAAGCCATAAAGATGCCAAGTCACACTGTTGGCCTACAACTCAGCCGGTGATCTAAACAAACCTCGTGATATTATTCCTCCGTAGAGTTGTTAAACATGTGTTTACCTGGAGACCAGACCCGAAACCCATCTAGTTTTTCAACGCTTCCTATTGATGACATAAGCAGAGGAATGTCTTTCTTCGCAGTTAGGCCGGCCAACTTACTCTCGTAGTATTTGACAATCCGTTTGATTATGAGTTCTGAAAGTAAATGCAAAAATACAAAAAATTTCAATTACTAATCAAGAGTCATTTGGAAGCAAAAGCAAGATCATCCTGGATATCGTTTGCTAGTTTTTCTTGGGTGATAAATTGAGCCTGGCGATAAGCATTGTGTATTTTTAGTTACTTTCAGGCTTTCGGTTGAGAATCACCAACTTGACACTACCGTTCATGCGGCGGCTCCACGGCGTATTCTGTCGACCTGCTCTCTCCGAGTAGGATGTGATTCGTGCTCTCATCTGACAGTCCTGCGGGGAACTCAAAAATGACCAGGTGATGTGAAAACCGTGATTGGAGGATACACGTAACTACTTAGCCCACTATGCCGACACAACTTGCCGTCTCGCTTCGCAACGCCGCACGCAGATCGACTGGTTATGGTGAGTTTTCAACCTAACTCCCCAAATCGGCTTACAAGAGAAGGCCTGAAATTAAGAACAGTTGCATGCTATCTTCAAGTCAGCTAATTAGACAGAGTTGGAGTCAAAATTGACTGCAGATGACCACGCATGAGAGTACAGCGTTGCACATGCGTCACAAACAGTCCAGAATGAGAGTTCACGCAGTACTTTTGATTCAGTTTGGAAAGTTTTGGGGAGATCGCAAGTAGAATACAGCCGTACGACGGAAACTGAATGCACAGTTACTGAAGTTAGTTAAATATCGCAACTATAGTTACACGGCGCTGATAATGGGCTGTTGATAACCTCATAAGGAACCGGCCTGATAAGTGATCATTCGAGCTTTTTTCTGGAATGACTCACCAATAACTTCTTCCGCCGTAACCCCATTGGCTGCTAGCTCGTCTGGAAGGAGATGATTGTGAACATGACGGTGATTACGTTGTTGATCCAAAATATCGAATGAATAACCGTAACTAGTTCATACATCAGCAAATACAGTCATTCTCACACCAGTTTGGTCCTGACGAGGGACTCGCCTCAATCCCAGCCGAATCTCTCGTTTATGCTGTTCTTCGTAGAGACACTCAGCTGGGATTCAAGTGAGCCTACCGTAAAAACCAAACTGATGTGCAACTGAGTGTAGCTGTCGAATTTTTGTGTAAGCTGGGTTCATGCAGAACATAAGGTTGACTGGGCCGTCCCTACCGGATGAACTCCAACAAGTGCAAGACCAGTCGTGAGCTGTTCAAGAGTTTTGAGCAACCCCATGAGTAGTATCTTTCGTCTATACGTGTTCAGATGTTGCCTCTGAGTGCATCAGGCTTAGCAACAACCAGTAATCCATATAATGCTTCCGGCTCCATGGTTATCAGGACCGATGCAATATTACTTAGACAGAGAGTGCAGCTACTAGCTTATTTGCATCCCATTCCTCGGACTGCTGAATTGATTTCCAACTTTTGTGTTAAGTGAAAAATTGCGTGAATGAATGTATCAGTTAGCTTGGAGTGTTGTCCTCTTATATGAGCTTGAATGTGCTAACTTAGATTCGCACGGCAACACTAGTCCCGCGGTTTACACCCTATTGTTTCGAAAACAGTTTGTTTAACGAGGAAGGGTGAACATTTTTGAGTAAACTATCTTCACCAGATAGATTGGGCTCGCAGCTTTCTTAAATTCCCTTGCAATCATCAGTGAATAGCCTCTCCTTGGAAAACTACTGGGATCCGTCGATTATTCTGCATAAAATGTGCTCTTGTACCAACGAGTAACACGTTCTCAAAATGTGACTACTCCATGGTTTCTGACGAATTTGTGGGAACCGAAGAAGTTGAAAAACTTACTGTATACTTCACTCCTGGGAACATTAGCTGCAACTAAATACAAGATCGATAAATGCTCTTTTGCGGAATCTAGTTGTGTTCAGAGGGATAAAACTGACGTTTGAAGCTCAAGCCACACCAATTTACCATGAGAAAGGAGTGTCTACCATGCCAAAATCGGGTCGTTACGGCTACGCATTAAAGTGTTATCATTTTGCTTGTACGAAAGATGCGACTGGGTCTTAGAACATTGAGCCATAAGCTGTCCTTTTCGTTATTGGGCCCTACAGAGATTTGACAGAAAACTGCAATCTCGGGCAGTAAGACTGCTTCTGACCTCGAGATATTAGCAAAAGGGAAACGATCAATAGACCGGTTCATCATAATTATTAAGAAACAAATACTTTGAAATGCGAGACTTTCCAGGCATCATCATCTACAACCTATAGTGCAAGCATAAAATCCTATGTCTGTTTGACCTCGCTTCCCTAAGGCACACGATTTTGATTCCTTCCAATTGGGAAATCCACTTTTTCTCAGGACTGGTTGCTGATACCACCATATTGCCATAGGTTTGCCCAAAACGACGCGAGTTCATCCAGGTCAAAGAAATGGGGTTCACGCGTAGTATGCACACATTTTGGAATGAATACAACTCGAGTCGTGGTTATATGAGTTTGTTGGTACAACGTAAAAACAACTGGCATGTACGCTGTTGAGAATTGGTCAACTTACCCGGTAAGCCCAGTGATTTCTCCCCAAACCTTTTTCTGGGTGCCGCTAGAGGCAGAGTGACAGACGGGTAGCATAATCTGAACGATTTTCTTGCAAATTATGAGTTCTGATGTGAAAATATAGAAACCGGGCCTACAAAATTGTCTCTGAGTTCTTTTAGATTTGTTTGTATAGTATTGCTTCGACTGACTGAGGCAGCCACATTTTCTGTTATCTATTTGAGCACTTTCGTTTGTCGAAATTCGTCACATGACTTGCTGTCGGCGTTAGTGTTAATCATGTCGTTAGACGGGCATTGAGAATAGAATGCTACTGGCATATCGATCTGTCTAGTTGGACAAACATGTTGCGTCGGTCGTTCAAATCGTTTTGGGTAATTTGTGTTCACATAGTGATAGTGATTTTGTCCTTTTTATCGATCAACAGTCCCTATACATACAAAAGCCAAGCGATCAGTCTCTTCTTTATTACGCAACCTGGTTCATAAAACGCACGCGCATTCACGAACAGTTTTTGTGTCGAAATCAATAAAAGGAAAAAAGAGTAATAATTCGTTCTTGACACTTCAGGTGCGTAGATTGCGTGAACTCTGAGGGAGTTACGATAGTTTAGATACAGCCAGAGTGAACAAACCTAGACAGGGTCAAGCGGGAAGTTACTAAATGCCTTAGAATTGCGTTTGATGTGCGAACACACGGACTCTCAATGAGTGCCGATATCATGGTCCTCACAGGTGGTCTACTGACACCCAAACCACCCAGAAGCTGCTACACTTTTCTACAACAAACCAGCCAGCTTTACTGTACCGTACCGAGCTAGAACCACAGACGACGGACCACACATCTACTCAACTGTTTGAGAGCAACTTCTTGTGACAATAGTTCCGAAACACGCATCATCGCAGAGAATCGAGCTGCACATTCGGAAAAAAATAAGAAGAAGAAAACGTACTTTCATACATCTTCTGGGCCAGCACGAGTGGTAGCACTGAAGAATGTGGCGCAAGTCGAGAACACAAATTGCGGTTGTGGAAAGACAAGAGATAAAAGAATCATGTCAAGATATAACCATAAGTTTTCATTCTGGCACCTTGAGCGTGTTCCCGTTGTTTCCTGGTAATCCTTTATCTGAATGAACGGTTTTTTCAACCAGAATGAGCAGTCAAGTGTTGTTGGCGACGCACCGGTTCATGGGTCAAGGACCTCATGAAATCCCAGCAACAATTAGGTTTCCAAGTTAATCACTGTCCTTGAGGAAAGGACCGGTTTTCGACGGAGTGTCCCACACGATGGCCGTCTCATCTTCCACTTTGGACAACGTTTGGTCACTACGTGGACAGACTGAAAAACCCACTAAAGCTCTTGCAGATTCAGAAACTGGGCCTACCTAATCAGCTCCAGTTGAAAAATGAGGCGACCTGTATGTCGCACACACAAAAAAAACCCACCGAAGACCGAGACCAATGCAAATCTTAAAATATATTTTAGGCATTGTTGATGTTTCGGTGTAGAAGTGTCCACCCCTTCCCTCTCGAGGAACATCACAACTGACCCAGACGTTGGGTAGGACTTAGTCACACCATAGCGAAATGCCGACAGCGGGACCTCCCACGCTAACGTGTGATGGAATAACGAAAATCGAAACGCTCTAAGGTCTGACAGAAGCCCCCGTGAATGTGAGAAGGGTGGCTTTGAGGGTGGAAGGAAAACCGAATGAAATATAATCTGAAAAATCTTCAGACAGGTCAGGTGTATCGAAGTTTTAAATCAGCTATCATAAACTGAACTTTGATTGAATCAACAAATTCAGTCACCAGCGATCACACACGTGGGTATCGTTGTCACACCTGCGTGGGTACCTGTTGTGGCTCTGATAAGGCCAAACGCGGTGGTCAGAAGTCCCCCCCTCGAGGGAAGAGGGGATCGATAGTCATATCAACAAACCGTTGCATTCCTTGATTTGGAACAGTAAACGCCTCTAACTGGACGAAAGTACAACCCAAATTTCTGAGGGTTTGTTCAAGATGGACATCCAATTAAATGGCAGACGGAAGCAACACGGTCCCTCTGGGATACAAAGATGTCGAGCACCCCACCGTATTCATAGATAAGTTTATCACCCCACCGTTAAACGAATCGAGTTTTTGGAGCATATGAAACGTATTTGTGATAGCCAGTGGAGGGCCAGGTGTGACATAATTTCTTGTACGATACTGCCCGATCCGCAGTCATCTTCCGCTAGAACAGCAAACAAGTAAATTTTATGTACCCGTGGGAAAGGGAACATGATGAAATCCATACTTACCTAAAATATCCCCGCTAACTTGATCTGTAGTGAAAGGTTCAATGTAAAGCTTTTCATCAGCCCTGATATTTAGCGTTCTCAGCTGGCGAACAAGAGGAGTGGTGAACAGACAGTCCAGTTTAGGGACATGGTTTGACCTCGATTTGTGAATGCAGTTGACCAATGGAGACATCAAACTGCTTTTGTGTGTTCAGAAATATGGGGGTCATACACCTGATTTTTAAAAAGGAAGGCAGGGTAGGCGAATATCTGGCCCGTAAACGTTTCACGAGTCTGAGTCGCTCATGGCCTTTGCTTGTCTCAACTCATAAATTTCCGTCTCGTTTGGCGCACATTCACACTTTTCACCGCATTCTGTGTGTTTCAGGTATCACCGGATTTTCACCCGTAGTTCTTGTCTCATATCTCCAACGTCGACCGTTTGCAACTTCTTGGCATCTGTTCCCTGGCTGTGTTCCTGTTTTATCTCACCCATGTCCCCGCTCCTTAGTGCAAGAAAAAGACTCGCCAACAGGAAACACAACAGCTTTACTTCGAACAAGCGAGAGCAACAGTTACAAGGGACCTCGTGCCATTTAAAGTTTACTTTTCATCGATCCAGGCTGTTGCTGATTTTTGGTTGATTGAATGACTGACTGGCTTGGATGCTTGCCGGCTTCCCTATAGAGATTCTTGTGGGGTTTTAGGATCTCATTAAGTTTCGGGCTTTCTGGGTTTATTATTGGGAATTTGACAGCTCCCCTTTGCTCGCGGCATCCATTCCGTATGTACTGTGAAAGAATTGGGCAGTCTGTCGTAAAATTTCATGTACTCGTGTGAATCTGTCAAAATGCCTTTCGTTGTTGACAACTATGTCTCTACTTGAAATGTCAGTAAGAACTCAAAATTGTCTATACTTTTATCGAAGATGTTTGGGATACCCATGGTCATTTATTGTCGTAAACTTGGTCCTTTGGCCTTGACTTTGGAAGTTCTACTTCGTGACTTTGGTTCTCGGGACCTTCAAATATTTCCTAACGGATGCACATTCTGCAGGTGTTC